GAGAGAGCCTTCACCTGCCAGCTGGCCCTTCTCAAGCATCAGAAAAGTCCCTGGGAGGATATGTTATCAGTGTGAGGGATGAGGAAAGACTTCCTGTGTAAGTCAAATGTTCAGAGTCATCAGAGTATGCTTCCCAGATAGAACCCTACAGGTGTCCTGAGTGTGGGAAAGCTTTCACCGAAGACCCGACTCTTAATAATCACGGGAAATTCCCCACTGCAGGGAAGCCGTGTGCGTGCACCAAAGATGGGGTCCTTCGGGCAGGCCTCCTCCCCGACGCACCACCAGAAAATTCATGTTGGAAAAGACTGTAAACTCTCCCGGTGTGAAAGGGCCTTTAGCTGGAATGCACGCAAAACCCCCCAGTGCAGGTAAAATGAGGGAGCCTATGTGGGTGGAGATTTCCTTCATTTCTCCTCAGAAGTTTTCTGGTAGACCAGACGTTCTCATTTGGGGTGATACTCCACTGCCCCTCCTGGGACTTCTCCACAATGTAGGGATATTATGGTTGGTCCAACTTGGTGGTGCTTCTAGGCTCTAAGGGGCCAGGGATCCTCTGCACCTCCTCCAATGCACAGGCACAGCCGCTGCACAAGGAATGGTCTGGCCCCAAATGTCAATAGCGCTACTAGGGGAAACTGCGTTTGAGAAGGAATTCAGTTTAATTTTTTTGCCCACAGCAAAGTAACCATGAACTTCATATGGTTACTTCAACGTAAAGGAGTCAAACATAAATAAAATTCAGAACAGAGTTTCTCAGCTGCTCCAGGCAAGTTTCAGTGGCCAAATGTGGCCAGAGGCTACCATACTGGACACTGCGGATACAGAACATTTCCATGGGCACAGAAGGGTCTGTCTCGGGACTGCTTTAGATCTCATAGGCTATCAGAATTATCACAAAGTGTATCCCCCAGAAAGTGAGGATGTGGGCTTGGTGCTATGAGACACGGAAGGAGCACAGCCAGATGGAGCATCTTATCAATGGCTCTTGGAGACTCCTGCCTCCGTGCGTGGTCCTCTGGGCAGTTTGAGTCTCAGGGTGGCCAGTGCCCTGCCCGCAGGACAACACCTCTTCCTGGGGCAGATTAACCAGTTGGTTGCTGATAATGTAGATAAATGCTAACATTTCCTAGGCATTTCCCACCTGCCAGGTATGGTGCTGAGCACTTTACATAGATGATCTCATTTACCCTTCACCAGAGTCCTAGGAAATACGAACTAATAGGATCCCCATTTTATAGAAGATAAAAGTGAGGCTCTCATGAGCTTTTTCAAAACACTATCGTTTAAAATTTTCTACCAAATTCAAGACTTTGTGCCTATTCGTATACTATGCTCTTTCAATTCACAGGATTCAATATTACGCTATTTCTTCAATATTATTTTCATAAAATATTTCTCTTTTTTAAAGACATGCCCGTTCAGTTTTCTGCTCAAACTGCCCTTTTGCCAGAGAGCAGCTTGGCTTTATCTACTGCAGGGTCTGGTACAGAAAATTCTCTAGGTCAGGGATGGGCAGACTCCGGTCATCCAGCCCACAGCCTGTTGTGTAAATAATGGCTCCTTGCCACAAGTACACCCATTCCTTACCTAACATCTGGGCTGTTTTCATGCAAAGTGGAGTAGCTGCTACTCGGACCCGATGGCCCAGAATTCTAAAGTATTTGCCATGACATCCTTGACAAGAAAGGTGACTGACCTTGCTTCGTATAGATGCCAAACTGAAATCAATACGGGTGGAGGTGTGAGAATGGTTAGAAAAAGGAGGGGAAATCGTGAACTATTGGGACTGTGATGCACAGTGTAAAAGATATTTTGTGTTTGAGTCCAGGGCACATGCTGCATACATGTGTTCCTCCGTGTGTGGCGTGTGTTTGTTCATATTCGAAGACCAAGTTTAGAAATACTGCGTACTCTTACTTCCTGCACAAGTAATTCTCAACCACTAAAACCCTGCCCGGGGCGACCTCCTAAACTGCTTTCCCTAACGAACGAGGTCGAAGAGGCCCCCGACCCTCCCCACTATTAACGGAATCGCAGCGAACACGCTGACGCCTGTGCTGGTGTCACAGACAGTTTTAACCACCTGACTTGTGTTTGCGGGCGGGGGTTGGGGGGTGTGCGTGTCGCTGAGCAGCTCAGCCCTGTTCATTCGCGCGAGTTTGTCCACCGCGTCCCCGGGCATCTCCGGAGCCAGCTCTGCGCGGGCGCCAAGGACAAGCACTGAGCGAGCCCGCCCGCTCCTGCCCAGCGGCCCAGCCAGAAGCCGGGTCCGGAGGTCAGTCCCGCGGCTGCAGCTCTGAAGGGTCTGCGCCATGGGGCTGGGGCGCAGCGCGGGGCGGGGGGCGGCGGGATGGCGGCGCTCCCAGGCAGGATGCGCGGGTGAATTCTGGGGAGTGGGGTGCAGGAGCTGCTGCCTAGGAGCCCCTGAGACCCGATGGTGCCCGCGGTGGGGCCCCTTGAGGAACCCGCGCCTCCCCTGAGGGCGGTCGGGATGCTCAGGTCCTCGTGAGCCGCGGGGCGACTCCAGGTCCGAGGATTTCTCTGGCCGCTGGGAGGAGGGAAGAGTGGAGGGGACAGAGGAGGCTGGGGTGTCAGTAGTAGGGGTGGCGGGGACTCCGTCCGGGGCAGGTGGAGGAGGAGCCCGGGTCCTGGTGCTGAGGTTTTAGGGGGCAGGACGGGCAGACGGGGGACTCTGTAGTTGGATGGAGGAGGTGAGAGGAACAGGTTTGCTCTGCACACCAGAGAGGCCGGTCGGGTATCAGGGGGTCAGGTAGCGAACTGGCCAAGTAGAAAATCGGAAAATGATACTGCAGGGAGTCCAGACGGTAGTTTGAGGGATGAGGAGCGGGGGGAGCCCCTCCGGTTGTGTTTGGGGGTTCGCTGAGACGCACAAGAGGTTTGCAGATGAGAAGGGCCTTTGGAAAACAGCTTTTGAGCCGCCAGCGCCTCTGTGCGCCTGCGTGCTGCGGGTGGGGGCAGGGAGCCTGTTTGGGGCGCGCATCTTTGAGGGGCAGCCTCGGGGGCATGGGCCCTGGGTGAAACTGGGGATGGGCCCTGGGTGTCAGCCAGAGGGAACTTGTGTTGGAGAGGGTGATGTGTAATTTCGGCTTCTGCGTCTGCAGTTGTGTGTGCCCGCAGTGGTGTGTGTGTGTGTGTGTGTGTGTGTGTGTGTGTGTGTGTGCATGTCCAGGACTGCCTGTGAGGAGGGCATTCAGTACTGACAAGCCCGCCTGCCCACGGGGGAGGCGGGGGTCTCTGAGTTTCCCTGGAGTGTGTCTGCAGATGTGTTTGTGTCATTATGCCCTGGTTTCCCCAGTGTTCATCTGAAAATGTGTGTCTCTAACAATTGTGTGTGTGTCTATCTGGCCGGGTGTTCCCGCCCTTTGACGCACCTTGTATTTGCACGATTATGTGTGAGAGTCTGTGATGGGTCTTATTCTTTAGAAAGGCTTAGAGGGAGAGGTTTGACTCTAAGTTACCAGACAGTGTGTTCTGAGTGTGTGTGTGTATTTAATCATATTTAATCTTCAGGCTTAATATTTATAGTCCTCTTTTTCATGAGGGGAAAGCTGACAGCGCAAGAGGTTAAATAACCCCTGAATCAGGGATTGCAGGCAAAATACAGGGCACCTGCTTAAATTTGAATTTCAGACAAATAATGAATTACCTTTTAGTATATGTATGTCCTGAATATTTCATGGGACTTACCTATACTTAAACATAATTTAGCAAAATAAATAAAAAATGATTTTTATGTAGACATGACCCATGCAGTGTTTGAACATACTTATACTAAAAAATGATTTGTGTATCTCAAATTCAAATCTCAGTTTGCTGTGTATTTCTTGTAATCTTGTTGTTGTTAAATCTGGCCAATTTGATCCTTGAGATCTCTTGGCTAGTGACCGGCAGGCTGGAACCCCCCAGTGCACCCTCCAGGCATACTGGCCAAAGTCCTGCCCAAAGTAAAGCTAGGGTGGAGGCGGGGCCCCAGGACCCCACAGCTGAGCCTGCTGCTAGGCACCCTCACTGCAGTGCTGACCCCTCCCCAGGGGTTGTGGTGAGGCGTCTGTGGACTGGCCCCCTTGTCTTCACAGCAGTCCTGAGAGTCAGTCTTAAGACTCAAGACTTAAGCATCCTGTACCAGAATGGGGCCCCTGAGGCCAGGGAAGCAAGGTCCTGGTCTGAACCATTTGGTCAAGCTGCCTTGTAGCCTTAGGACAGGGCTGAAATATCGCACTAGGAATGATGGCCATGAGGTGCACCTACTGAGTGTCTGCTGTATGCCAGACACCAGAGGCCCTTTTGATACTCAGTTGACTGACATTCACCTTCAGGGTCCCAGCTTTTTGTGGCATAATATTTTTTCATTTTTACTTATTTACAAAACAGAAACAGACTCACAGACTTAGAGAACGAACTTATGGTTACCAGTGGGGAAGAGATAGTTGGTGAGTTTGGAATTGACATGTACACACTGCCATATTTAAAACGGATAACCAACAAAGACCTACTGTATGGCACAGGGAACTCTGCTCAATGTTATGTGGCAGCCTGGATGGGAGGGGAGTTTGGGGGAGAAGGGATACATGGATATGTATGGCTGAGTCGCTTTGCTGTGCACCTGAAGCTATCACATTGTTAATTGGCTATACTCCAATATAAAATAAAAAGTTTTTTAAAAACGTAATATTTCTTCATTGTTTAAATGGTCATACACCCCACACCCATGATCCCTGCCCCTGCCCTTGCCAGGCACCATGGCAATCGCTCTCCCCACATCACACACTGGGCCTTGGAAGAACACTAGAGGGAGGCATTGCCAACACTTTCCCTTGGATGTTGGGGACCTGGAGACTTGGGCAGGGGATGGAGCTGTCTGAGTCCACCTGACATCTGAGAGCGGTGCTGGGGTTCACACCCAGGCCATCTGGGTCCCCAGCCCAGGCACTGACTTCTCTGGTCTCCTGTCCATAGGGAGCACCTGTGGTGTCACGATGCTACCTCTCAGCACCATCGAGGGCCGGGAAACGGAGGAGGTGCAGACCAAGCCGCCGGAGAAGGGAGGTGAGATACACATGGGGTGGAAAACTGTGGGCAGTTGGGAGTGGGGAGGGTCTCCAGGGCACGGCTGATGGGGAAGTGTTGACCCTGAAGACTGATCCCAACCCCAAATATCTCCCACTGGCTCTTCCTGGGAAGGGAGTGCCCTGAGGGGCTCCCAGGATGGAACCACCAGACATCACCTCATGTCAGTAGGTCCTGTCACTGCCCTGCTCAGACTCTTCAGAGATCTCTTGAGAGCTGAATGAATTTGGGCTCCTTTCTGTGGCCTGGACACCCCTGTTGTCTTACCCCAGCCCCTTCACTCACTGACATTCCCAGTCTGTTCCCTGTGGGTCTTCAGGATGCAATTTAAGGCATGTCTGCAGGTGCTGCTGTGCAACCTCCAGCAAGTGTTCTAACCTCTCTGTGCCTTGGTTTCCTCATCTCTAAAGTGGGATGATGAGAGTAGCCATTTCAGAGAGTTATTATGAAGAACCAAAACGGATAATACATGTAAAATACTTAATTGCATGCCTGGCACAAAGCAAGTACTCCACATATATTAGCTCTTGTCAGTGGTTACATGATGAAGATTTTATTATTATTGAGTTTCTCAAGCCTCAGAGGGCAAGATGGCCTCATGCCTCTTGCCTCCTCCCTCAGTTCTGCTTTCTGAGAACCCTGATGATCCACCAAAGAAGCCCATCAGAATGAAGGGAACAATGTTATTCAGAGTCCTGCCGTTCTGTCCTGTGGTAAGTCTCCTTGTTTCCTCCCTTTGGCCAGAGGCCCCTGGGTTCTGAGAAGTCAGCTACATCCACCACCATCTCTGCCCAGCAGAGACCCTTGGGTGGCTGGGTGCCCCTTTGTCCATCTCTCATTCCGGATGTGGCCCCATCTTGTGGGGGATAGTTTTCCTTGAAGATGCTGCCCTCTTTCCTGCCTTCTTTTCTTTCCTAATTCCTGCCTCTGCTCCAATGTCACCTCCTCCATGAAGCCTCCCTTGCTCACTTTTTCTCCATTTCTCTCCAACCCCCTTGCCTTGCTGAAGATTTTTCAGAGTAATTATTGCTACCTGAGAGCATACCTTGTATCTGTGTGTTCATCATCTGTCTTCCCTACTAGAGTAGTTCTTGGGGGCAGGAACCTCCTCTGTTGTTCAATGACATACCCCTGTATGTAGAACAGATGTAACCAGCGGTAAGCACTGTATACACATGAGCTGATTAAATGGAGGAATGAATTAGGGAACGGTCCCTCCTGCGTAGGCAGCTGTGGCTTTGTCCACCTGGACACCATTCCTCCTTCTCCTGCTAACACCCTTGATTTTTCTTGGGGGACCACCTGTCTCCATGCCCTTCAGATGGATCTGATCCCATCCTCAGACCAGCTCCAGGTATGCCCCTGTCCAGTCAGAGCCAGCAATGCCAAGGTTCCCTATGATGGGTTCCAGGCTGAGCAGGTGACTCAACCTTAGCCAATGAGGCATCTGATCTGTCTCTGGAATTCTTAACAGGTGGGAGGGGAGTTTTTGGAGTGGCCCTGATGGGGAACCATGGGGGCCCCGGGGAGAGGTCAGGGGAGGCACAGGGTGAGGATGCTCGCAAGAACACCTCTCCTATTAGTGCCTGCAGCAGTCCCAGGGAGAACTCTCTAGAAATCTTATTAGAAAAAAAATGTAAGAGTCACAGATTGCAAAGCACAGTACAAAGATCATCCAGATTCTCTTTCTATTTGCATGTTTTCTCACATATATATAATATACATATACATTATATATAATATACATATGTATTCCTCAGTGTGTATGGCCTTAGAAATAGAATATTCTCTTTGGTAAGTGTGAGACTGTTGTAGCATTTGGGCTTTTAACTCTTACATGCACTTTCATCTAATCTAATGTCCATATTCCTGGTTTGTTAGTTTAATACCTAATGTCTTTTTGACGTTCTTTTTCCTCTTACACAAGGTCTCGTCCAGGCTTCTTAGTAATGTATCTTTAGTCTCTTTAAGCTGGAAAATCCCCTCAGCCCTTCTTTGCCTCTTACAACACTGACGATTTTGAAGACCAGAGTCACACCCTGCCCCATATTGATGGCTTTTTATTTTGTTGTTTTTGTTGTTGTTTTGACCCATTCCCCCTAATGAGATTCAGGGTAAGCTATGATCTCTTCAATACCACCTAAGTGAAGCCCTGTCCTTCTCAGGACGTCACATCTAGATGCACGTGAGGTTTTGCATGTGAGAAGGAATTCAGGTATAATTTTCTTGCTCTGCAACACAGTAATCACCAACTACCTGCCTGAGGCTACTTAAATGTAAATGAATCAATCTTAAAAAAAAATTCAAAACACCGTTTCTCAGCCGCTCATGGCAGGTTTAAGTGGCCAGATGTGGCCAGTGCCTACCTCACTGGACAGTGCAGATACATAATATTTCTATGGTCACAGAAGGGTCTGTCTCAGGACTGGGTTAGATCTCTTTGGTTATCAGAATTATCACAGAGCATAGCACCCAGAAAGTGAGGTTGTAGGCTTGGTGCTGTGAGACACTGAAGAGGCACTTCAGACAGAGCATCTTATCAATGGCTCTTGGAGACTCCTGGCTCCTTGCACGGTCCTCTGGGCAGTTTGAATCTCAGGGTGGCCAGTGCCCTGCCCGCAGGACACCCCCTTCTGCCTGGGGCGGATTAACCAGTCGGTTACTGATAATGTTAGATAAATGCTAACATTTCCTGGGCACTTTCCACCTGTCAGATACGGAGCTGAACACTTTATATAGATGATCTCGTGTAACCTTCACCAGAGTCCAAGAAATAGGAACTAATATGATCCCCAATGTATAGGAGAGAAACCCAAGGCTCATGAGAGCTTTTTTAAGGTTGTTATTTCAAATTTTGTACATAACCAAGACTCAATGGCTATTTTTATATTACAGTCTTTCGACTCTCAGGACCCATATCTTCATAAAGTATTTCTTTTTTAAAAGAAAAGCAACAAACTGTATCTGTTCACATTTCTGCTCAAACTGCCCTTTTGCCAGAGAGCAGCTTGGCTTCATCTACTGCAGGAGCTGGCACAGAAAAATGTCTAGGTCAGGAGTGGGCAGACTCTGGCCATCCAGCCACAGCCTGTAGTGTAAATAAGGGCTCATTAGCACAGCCACGTCCATCCTTAGGTAGAGTCTGGGCTGCTTTCCTGCAAAGTCCAGTAGCTGTGACACAGCCTGTATGGTCCAGATAGGGTAAACTATTCGCCATGACATCCTTGACAACAAAGGTTACTGATCTTGCTTTGAATAGATGCCAGACTGAAATCAATACGGGTGAAAGTGTGAGAATGTTTAGAAAAAGGAGGGAAACTCTTGAACTACTGTGAGTGGTATACAGTATATAAAAGATATTTTGTGTTTGGGTCCAGTGTACCTGCTACATACATGTCTTTCTAGGTGTGTGCGGCATATCCTCATATTCAAATAAGAAGTTTAGAAACAGTACTTACCCTTATTACCTGCATAAATGATTCTCATTCTGTTAAAACCTGCCCATGGCGACCTCCTTAACTGGTTCCTCTAACGAATGAGGCCCCCGACCCTCCCCCCTAAAACTAAAATCGCAGCCAACACTCAGATACCTGTGCTGGTGTCAGAGACTCTTTTAACCACCTGACTTCTGTTTGGGGCCGGGGATGGGGGAGTGCTTTGCGTGACGCTGAGCCACTCAGCTCTGTTCATTCCTGCGAGTTTGTCCACAGATTCCCTGGACATCTTCGGAGCCAGCGCTACCCGGGCGCCAAGGACAAGCGCTGAGCAAGCCCGCCCGCTCCTGCCCAGCGGCCCAGACAGAACCCGGGTCCGGAGGTCAGTCCCGAGGCCGCAGCCCTAAAGGGTTTGCGCCATCCGGGCGGGGGCGCAGCGCGGGCCGGGGTCGGGGGGAGGGGAGAGGGGGCGGCCGGATGGCGCTGCGGGGTCCCTGGAGGGAGGGCCGGGCCGCCTGGCCAGGATGCGCCGGTGCGTTCGGGGCAACAGGGCTCAGGAGCGGCTGCCTAGGAGCCCCTGAGACCCGATGGTGCCCGCGGTGGGGCCCCTTGAGGAACCCGCGCCTCCCCTGAGGGCGGTCGGGATGCTCAGGCCCTCGTGAGCCGCGGGGCGACTCCAGGTCCGAGGATTTCTCTGGCCGCTGGGAGGAGGGAAGAGTGGAGGGGACAGAGGAGGCTGGGGTGTCAGTAGTAGGGGTGGCGGGGACTCCGTCCGGGGCAGGTGGAGGAGGAGCCCGGGTCCTGGTCCCGAGATTTTAGGAAGTAGGAGGGGCAGACGGGGGCTCTGTAGTTGGATGGAGGAGGCGGGAGGTATGAGGGTTGGTCTGCACACCTGAGAGGCCAGTTAGGTGTCAGGGGTTCGCTTATCTCACTGGCCGAATAAAAACATAGGAACATGACTTTGGGGGGAGTCCATAGAGCAGTTTTAGAGGAGGAGCGGGGAGTCCCTCCGGAAAGGTTTGGGGGTTCACTAAGAACGAATAAGAAGGTTTGCAGATGAGAAGCGCGCTTGGAAAACAGCTTTTGAGCCTCCAGCGCCTCTGTGCGCCTGCGTGCTGCGGGCGGGGGCAGGGAGCCTGTTTGGGGCGCGCATCTTTGAGGGGCAGCCTCGGGGGATGGGCCCCGGGTGTCAGCCAGAGGGAAATTGTGTGGGAGGGTGATGTGTAATTTCAGCTGGTGCATCTGCAGTTTTGTGTGCCCCAAGTGTGTGTGTGTGTGTGTGTGTGTGTGCGTGTGCACGATTGCCTGTGAATGGGGCGTTCAGTACTGACAAGCAGGTCTGCCTGCTTGAGTAGTGGGGGTCTCAGATTTCCCTGGAGTGTGTCTGCAGATGTCGGTGTGTCGTTATGCCCTGGTTTCCTCAGTGTTCATCTGAAAATGTGCGTTTCTGTGTGTGTGTACCTGGCTGGCTGGTCCCACTATACGATGCACCTTAAATTTGCACGATTATGTGTGATAGTCTGTGATGGTTCTTAAGCATCTTAAAAAGGCTTCAAAGAAGAGGTTTGACTCTCAGTTACCAGATAGTGTGTTCTGAGGGTGTGTGTGTGTATTTAATCATATTTAATCCTCATGTTTAATCATTTATTTTCCTCATTTTCATGGACGGGAAAGCTGACAGCACAAGAGGTTAAAAAACCCCTGAATCGGGGCTTGCCAGGTAAAATACAGGATGCTTACTTCAATTTGAATTTAAGACAAATAATGAATTACCTTTTAGTATAAGTATGTTCCAAATATTTCATGGGACTTGCCTATACTTAAACATAATTTAGAAAACTAAATAAAAAATGACTTTTTATGTAGACATGCCCCAGGCAGTGTTCGGTTATGCTATACCAAAAAATGATTTGTGTATCTAAAATTCAAATCTCAGTTTGCTGTGTATTTGTTGTAATGTCATTTTGTTAAATCTGGCAAACTTAATCCTTGAGCTCTCTTGACAAGTGACTGGCAGCCTGGAACCCCCCCAGCCCACCCCTTCCAGACACACTGGTCCAAGCCCTGACCAGGGTAAAGCTGGAGTGGAGGCGCGGTCCCAGGACCCCACAGCTGAGCCTGCTGCTAGGCACCCTTGCTGCAGTGCTGACCCCTCCCCAAGGGCTGTGGTGAGGTGTCTGTGGACCGGTCCCCTCATCTTCACAGCAGTCCCGAGAGGCAATCACTTAAGCATCCTGTACCAGAAGGGGTCCCAAGGCCAGGGAAGCGAGGTCCTGGTCTGAACCATTTGGTCAAGCTGCAATGTAGCTTTAGGACAGCCCTGAAATACGGCACTGGGAATGCTAACCATGAGCGCACTTATTTAGTGCCTGCCACATGCCAGACACCACAGGCCCTTTTGATATCCAGTTAACTGTTATTCACCTTCAGTGTCCCAGCTTTCTGTGTCAAGATATTTCTTCTTTTTCCTAAAGGGGAATAAACACCAGACCCATGATCCCTGCCCTTGCCCTTGCCAGGTGTCATGCCAAATGCTCTCCCCAGATCACGCACTGGGCCTTGGAAGAACACTAGAGGGAGGCATTGCCAACACTTCCCCTTGGATGTTGGGGACCTGGAGACTTGGGGAGGAGATAGAGCTGTCTGAGTCCATCCGACACCTGAGAGCAGTGCTGGGGTTCACACCCGGGCCATCTGGGTGCCCAGCCCAGACACTGACTGCTCTGGTCTCCTGTCCATAGGGAGCACCTGTGGTGTCACGATGCTACCTCTCAGCACCATCGAGGGCCAGGAAACGGAGGAGGTGCAGACCAAGCCACCGGAGAAAGGAGGTGAGACACACATGGGGTGGAAAACTGTGGGCAGGTGAGAGTGGGGAGGGCCCCCGGGGGAGACCTGATGAGGAAGTGTTGACCCTGAAGACTGATCCCAACCCCAAATATCTCCCACTGGCTCTTCCTGGGAAGGGAGGGCCCTGAGGGGCATCCAGGATGGAACATCCCCGACATCCCCTCATGTCAGTGGGTCTTGTCTCTCCCCTGCTCAGAGCCTGCAGGGGTGTCTCTTGGGTCTCCTGGGAGCTGGAATCAATCTGGGCTCCTTTCTGTGATCTGGTCACCTGCCTGGACTGGCCTTGCATCCAGTTGCCAGGTCTAGGGGCTACGAAGTCATTTGTTTGGGATATGATGGAGGCCTGACCCAACGATTTAGCTGAGGGGATGCGCAGGAGTGGAGTAGGTTGTGGACCCTGCTCGTGGCTTGGCCTCATGAATGAGGGATGCTGGGTCTGTTGTGATGCTTCCTTTCTGAAACATCTTACTTTGCAATCATTTTATATTCACAAGAAGTTGCCATAATAGTACATAGAAGTTCCATGGACACTTCATCCCATTTCCCCCAGTATCTTTATTTTATATGATGACACTACATCAAAACTAGTCCATAGATATTGGCACAATCCATGTGTGTTTTTACTTGTATTTCATCACGTCTATAGCTGTGTGTAACCATCATACAAAACAAGATACAGGCCACTGTTTTAGCTACCTACTCCCTTACCAGAGGTAGCTACTTTCCAGTTTCTTGTCCAATCTTCCAGAATGTTCTATGCTCGCTCATACAGACAAGGATGTGTATGCATCTGTTACTATGTATTTATGTCTGATGTACTGTGTGTACTGTATATGCCACTGCCAGTTCCTATTTTGCCTTGTTTCATTTAATCCTGATCTGGCACTTGATATCTTCCAGTCACAGTCCCAATGCTTTCCAAGCATCCAATCACTCATGCTTCACAACTCTGTGAGGTAAGGACAGTGATTGCCCCATTTTGAAGATGAGAAATCTGAGGGGTGACAAGGATGAATGATTAGCTCATGCTGGAATTTGAAGCATTTGGCCTCGGGGTCTTTGACATTAAGCCCTGTGTCCCCTGTCCATCTTGGGGACTCTTCCCCACAAGATGACAAGTTTGTGTTCCAGCTGCCTGGCATTCCATGGTCTGTCTGTACTGTACTGTAGTTTATTTAACCTGGTTCCTGCAGGTGGCCATTCGGGTTATTCCCAGTCTTTGAGGATGACAATAAATGCAAGTAGAAATAAGATTATAATTGGGTCATATTGCACACAGGGGAGTATACCCAGGACAATATGTTTAAAAGGGGGAATGGCTGCATCAAAGGAGGATGTGCATTTGTAATTTGGTGAGTTTGACTGAATGGTCCTCCGTGGAGAGGCGGATTTCCATTCCCAGCAGGAGAGTAGGAGTTTCTAAGAAAATATCTGGATTTGTTGGTAGCTTTGAAATATTAGGAGACTTCACTCTAAATCAAGACATCTGTCTTCTGTGGGGAAACTAGACAATTTTCTGGAGAGGCATCCCCACAGGCAGCTGCATATCAGCTGCCCCTTCCTCCTGGACACGGGCTCCCCAGGGTGCCACCATCTCCAGAGACCCTGTTGTCTTACCTCAGCTCCTTAACTCACTGACATTCCCTCTCTGTTCCCTGTGGGCCTTCGGGATGCAATTTAATGCATGTCTGTAGGCACTGTGTGCAACCTTCAGCAAGTGTCCTAACCTCTGTGCCTTGGTTTCCTCATCTCTAAAGTGGGATGATAGTAGCCATCTCAGAGTTATTATGAACAATCAATTAAGCTATGATGCGTAAAATACTTAAAAGAGTGCCTGACACATAGCAAGTAGTTCACACATGTTGGTTCTTGTCAATGATTTTATGATGAAGATATTATTATTGAGTTTCTCAAGCCTCAGAGGGCAAAATGGCCTCATGAGTCTTTCCTCCTCTCTCAGCCCTGCTTTCTGAGAACCCTGATGAACCACGAAAGAAGTCCACTGGAATGAAGGGAAGACTGTCATTCAGAGTCCTGCCGATCTGTCCCATGGTAAGCCTGCCTGTTTCCTCCCTTCAATCAGAAGCCCCTGGATTCTGAGAACTCAGGCACATCTGCCAGCCTCTCTGCCCAGCAGAGACCCTTGGGTGGCTGGATGCCCCCGTGCCCCCAAGGATGTGGCCCCATCCTCTGGGGGATGGTTTTCCTTGAGGATGCTGCCCTCTTTCCTGCCTCCTTCTCTTTCCTAATTCCTGCCTCTTCTCCAATGGCACCTCCTCCATGAAGCCTCCCTTGGACACTTCCTCCCCATCTGGATCTAACCCCCTGCCTTGCTGAATTTTTTTCAGAGTAACTATTGCTACCTGAGAGAATACCTTCTGTCTGTGTGTTCATCATCTGTCTTCCCTACTAGAGTAATTCTGTGTATGTGTGGCGGGGGGCAGGAACCTGCTCTGTTGTTCAATGACATATCCCTGTGCATAGAACAGATGTAACCAGCGGTAGGCACTGTACACAGGTGGGCTGATTAAATGGAGGAATGAATTAGGGAACGGTCCCTGCTGAGGCAGGCTGCTATGGATTTGTCCACCTGATTACCATTCCTCCTTCTTTTGCTAACATCCTTGATTTTTCTTGGGGGACCACCTGTCTCTATGCACCTTGGTTGGATCTGATCCCATCCTCAGACCAGCTCCAGGTATGCCCCTGACCAATCAGAGCCGGCAATGCCAAGGTTCCCCATGATTGGTTCCTGGCTGGGCACGTTGACTCAACCTTGGCCAATTAGGCATGTGCTCTCTGGGATTCTTGACAGGCAGGAGTGGAGCTTGGAGAGGCCCTGATGGGGAACCAGCGGGGCCATGGGGAGAGGTCAGGGGAGGCACAGGGTCAGGATGCTCGCAAGAACGCCTTTCCTATTAGAGGCTGCAGCAGTGCCAGGGAGGACTCTTTAAAAAATCTTCTTATTAGAAAATAATATGACAATCAAAGACTTTTAAAAAAACAGTACAAAGATCATCCAAATTCGCCAATTGTTATCATTTTTTCTATTTTCATGTTTTCTCATATTATATATATTCATATATATTCCTATAGGAATATATATATATATATATAACTATTCTTCCCTGTGTATCACCTTAGAAATAGAATATTCTCCTATCCTACTGTTGGCATGTTTTCACCAGTGAGCTTTTAACCCTGATACACACTTTCGTCACACCTGCTGTCCATATTCCAGGTTTGTTAATTTACTACATACTGTCTGTTTGGTGTTCTTTTTCCTCCTACACAAGGTGCTGTGTAGGGACAGATATTGTGCTTAGTAATGTATCTTTAGTCTCTTTAAGCTGGAAAATCCCCTCAGTCTTTCTTTGCCTCTTATGACACTGATGAGTCTGAAGATCAGAGTCACACCTCGTACAATGTTGATTGCTTTTTTGGTTCTGTTTTGTTTCATTTCTTTGCTTGTTTGTTTTTACGCTGTCCCTTTAATGACATTCAGGATAAGCTACGATCTCTGGAATACCACCTAAGTGATGCCCTGTCGTTATCAGGACATCACATCTAGATGCACCCTAGGTCTGTCTGCCATCATTGGTGATACGAATTTTGATCCACTCAGCTGAGATGCTTGTCCCTTTTCTCCACTGAATACTTTCTGATTTTTGTTTTCCCCATGCAACTAACTAATGAGATATCAATGGGGAGACACTGTAGATGAACCAAATAATCTAGAAACAGAGAGCATTCTGATCGGTTCCTTTCGGGTCCTGTGCTCACCAGTGAACGAATCATCAGCTTAGGAGATGTGAACCCTAAATCTCTCAACCTGGGCCACATGCCCATGGGCAGTGGAAGTTCTCTACCTTTCCGCAACCACAAGAACAGAAGTATGGGATGAGGCAGCTGTTCTCAACCAAAGGCAGTTTATCCCCCAGGGGACACCTTCAGTGTCTGGAAAATTTTTCTTTGCCACAGCTAAAGGGATAGTGCTGCTGGCACCTGGTGGTAGAGGCCAGAGATGACGCTTAACATCCTGCAATGTACAGGATGCCCCCCCTGACTACAAAGAATGATCTGACCCCAAAATGTCATTAGTGTGACACTAACGTTCTCTTCTTTCTTCTCTGTTCTCTTTCCTTCAAGCCAAGTGTTTGCTTCACCTATTACTTGGAAACGGATGACTCTGACTCTGATTCCCAATTTCCTCCTGAACCTTTGAAACCTGACCCAAACTGCACCTTTGTTCCTCTGCCTGTGTTAGAGTTTCGTGAAATCAAGGTGTGTGAATGTCCCCTGTGCTGTCTCAGCTTTGTCACTGCTTCCTAATACCTGAGCTCCCTCTGCTTCCTGCTCTTGACTCAGCACCCTGGAATCATGCATGCTGGGCTACTGTGATGTAAAGTCCCCAAATACAGCTGCTTAAATAAACCAAACTTGATGTCTCTCTCATAGCTGTGGTCTGTGTGTAAAACTCCCCCAGCCGGTGTGTTGCATCCCCGTGAAGTTGGACAGCCAAGTTCCTTTGACCTTGGTGCTCTGTGCCACGTGGCCGGAGAGGGCTCACTCCCACATCCCATCCACATTGTGGCTCAGGGTAAGGGGGAGGGGAAGAGGGAAGGGGAAGACACACTTTAGTCCTTCAGAGGGCACCTCCTACAAGATGCCCAGGTCACTTTTCCTCAAACCTCATTGGCCAGAACATAGTCACATGACCACATCTAGCTGCAAGAGATGCTGGGAAGTGCAGTCCTTAGCTGGGCAATCCTGTGTCACCTTCTAGCTTCTATTATTACAGCAAAGGAGAATGGCTATTGTGTCCACCACTGACCAGGTCTGTTATGTTAATTTAGCCCCGGCACCAGGCTGTGATGAATACATGAGTGAATGAGTGTGTTCTTCAGTTCTGTCTCTCTCTCCCGTTGACTAGGACCTCCTCCATCTTTACACAAATATTTAGAATACGGAATATTTCGGGACTTCCCTGATTAAGACTCCAAGCTCCCAATATAGGTGCCACGGGTTTGATCCCTGGTCAGGGAACTAAGATCCCCCATGCCGCATGGCATGGCCAAAAATAAAAAAGGAATGTTTCTTGAGCACTGACCATGTCGTAAGCACTGAGCTAATGTCTTTACACATTTTGATCCACTTAATTCTCACAACCATATGGCTGGTTCTGTTATTATCCATCTTTCCAAGACAAGAGAACAGAGGCACAGAGAGTTCATGTCGCTTGCTTCAGGTCACACAGATCATAAGTAGCCAACCCAAGATTCAAACCCAGGCAAGCTGGCTCCAGAGTCTCTGCCCTTAACCGTCATGGTAATAACCTCACACATGTGGACACTGGGACTTTCCCAGATGGTCACACAGCTGTGAGTGGAAGAGCATCTTCCAACATTCATCCCTTCCAAGATTCATAGCATCCATTCACTTACCTCTTCACATATTACATAAATACTTGGAATATGCATGTAACACTTATCTTTAGACACAGTAATGCCACTTAACTACAACAACAACAAAATCCACAGAAATTGTCGATTGAAGTAAAAATGCACAATGTGAGAGTTGTGAGTTTCAGTTTATTTGGGGACTTACTGAGGAGTATAGCCCAGGAAGCAGCCTGTCAGAGAGCTCTGAGGAACTGCTCCAAAAGGTAGGTAGGAGGTCAGTTTCTGTGTGATTTTGGAGAAGGGATCCATGCAGTCAAGTACACACCTCATTACAAGGCTACTGTTCGTTGGGACGAACAGACATATCAGTTAATGTATTTAGTGCTTTTCTAAGTATGGGAGACTCAAAGAATCTTGGGTCATATTATTTTCTCCTGAACATATCTAATGTCTGAGGTGTAAGTAAACCCAGGTTTGGCCACTTGCTGCTCGTAAGCTAATAATTCAAGAGGCAACTGTCAACAGAAAAGAAAGGTGCTTTAATCAGGAAAGCTGACAATCTGGGGAGATGGTGGACTCATGTCCAGGGACCAACTCCAAAGATTCTGCTCAGCCTTGACAGTTTTTAAAGGGAAAAATGGAGGAATCTCAGTGAATCATCGAGGCAGGAGGTTGGGTTCTGCATGATTCTCCATTGCATGCAGAACTGGCTGAGTCTCTCTTCAGATGTTATCTTGCCCACATGATCTGCCGGCAGGATTGCTTAGGGGCGCTATTGGGGGTAGACAGCTAGTCATACTTATTTTTATCTAGGAAAAGAATCGACAGGTTAGACAAGGCATGATGTGCATTCAGGAGAGAATAAGTCAGGAGTTGGTTTCAATTGCTTAGTGATCTCATTCCTCTGATTAGGTTCTTTTAAGGTTAGAGGGGGAACAGAAATGGACAAACAGCAAAGGGCCAAAAAAAAGCTGCATTCAGAGGGGCCTTTCTGCCGCTTTCCCCAGAGCATAGAGTGCCTCACCCGGGTCTTAACCTTGAATTCCTTTCAGGGTGAACTGTAGGTGGTACGGAATGGTGGGCAGCATCCTTTAGTTGGCAAACTTCAGGAGCAACAGCCACAAGGGGTCGTGGAGGTGGCTCCGCTGAGGTTTCTGGGCTCCTCCAGATGCCTGGTGGACGCTCGTCCTCAGCTCACCTAGGCTGGCTTCTCTTGGGGCACTGGGGAGACCTGGCCCTACTCCAGGTATCTTTCATCCTCCAGCAGGCTTGCCTGGTCATGTTCATCCTCATGGCAGGGGTAAAGACGCAAGAGAGAAACAAATGCCAGTTTCATAAGCACTTTCCAAGCTTTTGCTTAAATCACATTTTACCCGCATCCCTTTGGCCAAAGCAAGTTCCATGGCCAAGTACAGATTCAGAAGAGGAGGGCACTACACACTTAGGACAAAGGGTACGGACATGGGGGAGGGTGGAAAACTGGGGCCATGTTTGCAACCTACCACAAGGCAGGATTGTGATCATATCCCCAACCTTCATCGGCTCCCACCTGTCAGAACACAAGAGGATTCACCAGCCAGGCACCTGGGAGGGAAGCCAGGAATGTGAGAGAGCCTTCACCTGCCAGCTGGCCCTTCTCAAGCATCAGAAAAGTCCCTGGGAGGATATGTTATCAGTGTGAGGGATGAGGAAAGACTTCCTGTGTAAGTCAAATGTTCAGAGTCATCAGAGTATGCTTCCCAGATAGAACCCTACAGGTGTCCTGAGTGTGGGAAAGCTTTCACCGAAGACCCGACTCTTAATAATCACGGGAAATTCCCCACTGCAGGGAAGCCGTGTGCGTGCACCAAAGATGGGGTCCTTCGGGCAGGCCTCCTCCCCGACGCACCACCAGAAAATTCATGTTGGAAAAGACTGTAAACTCTCCCGGTGTGAAAGGGCCTTTAGCTGGAATGCACGCAAAACCCCCCAGTGCAGGTAAAATGAGGGAACCTATGTGGGTGGAGATTTCCTTCATTTCTCCTCAGAAGTTTTCTGGTAGACCAGACGTTCTCATTTGGGGTGATACTCCACTGCCCCCTCCTGGAATTTCCCTGCAAGTTTGGGGATATTTCTGGTTGTCCAAAATTGGTGTTGCTACTAGGCTGTAATCGATAAGAGACCAAGGATCCTCTAAACATGGTGTAATGCACCAGGAAACCCCCTGCACAGAGAATGTTCCAGCCCCAAATGTCAATGTCAATAGTATCATTACAGAGAATTGCATTTGAGAACGAATTCAGGTATAATTTTCTTGCTCTCCAATACAGTAATCACTAACTAGCTGCATGAGACTACTTGAGTGTAAACGAATCAATCTTATATAACATTCAAAACAGAGTTTCTCAGCTGCCCCAGGAATGCTTCAGTGGCCAAACGTGGCCAGTGGCTACTGCACTGGGCAGTGCAGATACAGAAAATTTCCAAAGTCGCAGAATGGTCTGTCTCAGGACTGCTTTAGATCTCATAGGCTATCAGAATTATCACAGACTGTATCCCCCAGAAAGTGAGGATGTGGGCTTGGTGCTGTGAGACACAGAAGGAGCACAGCCAGATGGAGCATCTTATCAATGGCTCTTGGAGACCAGAGTCTCCATGCACGGTCCTCTGGGCAGTTTGAGTCTCAGGGTGGACAATTCCCTGCCCGCAGGACACCCCCTCTGCCTGGGGCAGATTAACCAGTCGGTTACTGCTAATGTTAGATAAATGCTAAAATTTCCTGGGCACTTTCCACCTGTCAGGTATGGTGCTGAGCATAGAAGATCTTATGTAACCTTCACCGGAGTCCCATGAAATAGGAACTAATATGATCCCCAATTTGTAGGAGAGAAACCCAAGGTTTATGAGAGGTGTTTTTAAAGCTTGTTATTTCAAATTTTGAACATATATCAATAATCTATTCTTATTTTTATATTACACTCTATCAATTCACAGGATTCAAATTTTTATAAAATATTTCTTTTTTTTCAAGTATATATGTTTGCATTTCTGTCCAAACAACACTTTTTACAGGAACTTCTTGGCTTTATCTACTCCAGGGTCTGGCATAAAGTATTCTCTAGGTCAGGGATGGGCAGACTCTGGTCATCCAGCACACAGCCTGTTGTGTAAATAATGGCTCCTTGCCACAAGTACACCCATTCCTTACCTAACATCTGGGCTGTTTTCATGCAAAGTGGAGTAGCTGCTACTCGGACCCGATGGCCCAGAATTCTAAAGTATTTGCCATGACATCCTTGACAAGAAAGGTGACTGACCTTGCTTCGTATAGATGCCAAACTGAAATCAATACGGGTGGAGGTGTGAGAATGGTTAGAAAAAGGAGGGGAAATCGTGAACTATTGGGACTGTGATGCACAGTGTAAAAGATATTTTGTGTTTGAGTCCAGGGCACATGCTGCATACATGTGTTCCTCCGTGTGTGGCGTGTGTTTGTTCATATTCGAAGACCAAGTTTAGAAATACTGCGTACTCTTACTTCCTGCACAAGTAATTCTCAACCACTAAAACCCTGCCCGGGGCGACCTCCTAAACTGCTTTCCCTAACGAACGAGGTCGAAGAGGCCCCCGACCCTCCCCACTATTAACGGAATCGCAGCGAACACGCTGACGCCTGTGCTGGTGTCACAGACAGTTTTAACCACCTGACTTGTGTTTGCGGGCGGGGGTTGGGGGGTGTGCGTGTCGCTGAGCAGCTCAGCCCTGTTCATTCGCGCGAGTTTGTCCACCGCGTCCCCGGGCATCTCCGGAGCCAGCTCTGCGCGGGCGCCAAGGACAAGCACTGAGCGAGCCCGCCCGCTCCTGCCCAGCGGCCCAGCCAGAAGCCGGGTCCGGAGGTCAGTCCCGCGGCTGCAGCTCTGAAGGGTCTGCGCCATGGGGCTGGGGCGCAGC